GAAGAGAGAGAGAGATGTGAGGGGGGAGAGTATTTTGAGAGGGAGATACGTGAGGGGGGGAGAGAAAATTATTTTTAGCATTTCTTTTTCCTTCTTTAGGGTTTTATTTTTGTATAAAGAGGGAGGCTTATGTTATGAGGGACTAAGATATTTTACTATAGAGAGTTTTATGAATGAAGAAATGAGGGCTTCTTCTTCACCATGGCTTGATTTATAGCCACATTATTTCCTTCATTATTCTGGAATTTTGCTTGTTTAAGATCTACAAAAGGCCGGACTTTATTTCTCGGGCTCCTCTCACATCTTTCATGGCAAGATTTGGGTAAATGAGAGGTAAATTTATGGTCGAACTTGGAGACTCAGTAGAGTGCCTGGGTCTGTAGAGCTATTTGGGTGGTTGCTAGTCAGAACATGGTCTACAAGCATGTTGAGGGCTTCTGGAACCAGCAAAGGTACTCCTTCCAATTGACTCAGGAGAGTCCAAGTGGACTGACTCGCCAAGTTTTAAAACACTGATGATAATGTATTACAGCCCAACCTTTCATGCCGAAGCTTGTTGCTGAACTAACAATCCTCATTTTGTGGAGGATTTTTGCAATATGAAGTGAAAAGTAGTGTTTATTTTGTATGTTTTTCCCCTCTCACTATTTTTTATTTTCCTTTATTCTGAGTTTACATCCTAGAAGATCTGATTATTCTGCATTTATTAAATTGGTTGCACCATAAGCTTTATTGTGATTCAGTTACCACTTGTTCGGTCAATCCTTGTTTGATTAAGGTTGCCTCTCTTTTTTACTAAAAGTGACATAATATGAACTTATAACAATTTCTCATTGTGGTTCCATCTTAAATTTCTCATTTCTTTTTTACAGGTTTGCTGCAAGGCTCATCGCTTGGTTGCTAAGCCGGATCCTTGGTGCTTCGGTTGGCTTTCGGGTCACTGGATTGAACTCAGCTAGGGATGTGGTGTTGAAGTTTAAGAAGGTTGCCTGTGTTCTTCTCCATATGCTTAAGCTAAGCAAAATAATTTAGAAGAAACATTTCATTTTCATGAACCATATTCCTTATAACCGTCCTTTGTATTATGACATCATGCATGTAATTTTCCAATTGTTGGTATAATCTTTTTTTTTCTGATAGATCTTAGTTGATTCTTTTAGTGGGCCAGTTTGTCGTCCATTGTGTAAAGGGAAAGCGTCCTTCTAGTGGTTCAGATTGAACCAGGCTATATCCAAAGGCCAAAAACTTATTTCATTATTTATTTTTTATTTTCTATCAAATTCCAAATGTTTGGGATAAGGCTTGGACAATGATGATGATGATGATTTACAAATTCGTTTTACCTGGAATTGGAGTATAGATTCTTTTTTATAAAATGCACTCTATAGAAATAAGAAAAAAAATATTTTGAGCAAAAAACTTGACCCCTGAATATCCCATAAATGTTTTAGGGGTATTTAGGGGTCAATTGTTTTGCTCAAAATATTTTTTATTAGTTTTATTGGGTGTGCCCTATGTTGTTTTATCCTAGTTTTTGTCCCACAATACAATCAATAAAAGTACAAAAAATAAAAAGAGCATAACTTTGTGGCTCTTGGATAGGGGGGTAGGTTCAATCTGAATAGTCGAATGGTACCTGTGCACTGTGGCTATACCATCCCTTGTGTAAATACATCATGATCAAATTAAAATAGTTAGTGGTGTAACTGGTTTTACTTCTTGTGATTTTCGTGAATCACATTAGTGAAGCATGGAAAATAGGTAGCAAGACAGTGAGCTTCAAGCACCCTTCGAGAGTGTACATCCTGTGGATGTTATACAACCCCTTTTGTAAATATGTCGGGGATAAAGTAAAAATGGTTAATGATGGAACTGGTTTTCACTTCTTCTAGTGATTTTGGTGATTTTAGTGAGTTGGTGAAGAATGGAAAATGGTTAGCAAGACAGTAAGCATCAGAACTTTGCAAGAGGCATTTAGACAGCCACACTACTTCAGACGAACCGAACCTCATTATACCAATGATCGTCAACTAATATTGGGAGCTCTCTCTGAGTAAAAGAAGCTTATAATCCGATACCCACAACTGAGCTTTAATGCTCTTTAGCCATGCTGTGGGGGTGTCAAATCCATTGATAGGAAAACTGCAGTGATCTATGATTTCCTTATGATTGACCACAAAATGTGGGCACTCAACCCTCTGTGAATCACTTGATGGTATTTAGGTTGTCTCCCTTGATATATATGAATGTATGCAATGTTCCTTGTGCAGCTTTAAACTGTGCCTAAAGGTTGACATTTACATCCTTTTCAAGTCCAGTACACCTTGGGACATTTAAGCACAAAATAATAATATTGATAGAAAATCAAGCTCTTAAGCTGTAATGAGAAAGTTAATGACATCAAGCTTGTTGACTTTAACCTCTTGGGAGTTTTTCCTTGACAAGATGATAAGCTGTATCAATTTCTGGAAACTAAATTCATGAAGGGTACTGAATTTGTGTTTAGGATGCAGATATAGTTCTGCCTGCATGTTTTTGAGTGCATGGTGCCACTGTCTTTGCTAGTTTTCATTATGCTAACATTATGCACCAGAATTTTCAATATGGCTTGTAGTGCTCATAACAGTATATAACTTGATATTTGTACAACATTTACTAGCTGTATGCATTGGCTATATTCCAAATACTAAGCTGGATCGATTTATGGCAAGCTTCCCTAGACATGACTTGATGATAGAAAGCCCAGATAAGGTCATTATCATATATAACATGATCACAGATACAGGACATGTCAGTTCTTAGGAATAGAACAGAATATGGGACCCAGGAGGTTGTTGAAAATTGAGACAATGCAAAACATAAGATATAATATCCTTTTCAAATCAAGCAAAATAACAAGTAAAACTGAACTGAAGTATGGTATGAATCCTTATATTATATTTTTTTTTTGTGTCTTGTATATTTGACAAACACAGATAGAATATGAAGATAATATTTTCAGGTCAATATCCTCCAGATGCTGTATTAAAAAAAAGTTGATGCACATCTGGCTGTCTGTCTCTTTTAGGAGTTTTAGTTCCCCATGACTTTACTTGTGGACGTCATCCTAATTTAAAGTGTGCAAATGACATTTAAGCTTGTCAGCTATGCAGCATCAGCAAATGAATCGAGAACAAGAGGTTAGAATTGATAAAAATGATCATGAGCAATTGAATGTTCAAAGTTTAAATTTATTTACAAGTTGTAGAAAGACGTGTATTCTGCCCATGGTTTACTTGACAGAAGTCCATATTTTGTCATGGTTTATTTATTACTTATGAGTGACTTTTTCCTTTGCAAAACTTGTTTCAAGTTTGCATTATTGTTTTCTACTGTTATTTTCTGTTTTTTTTCCAGCTCTACAGTTGTTAATATCATATCCTCCGTGTTGTGATTTGTTCCTCCCAGGGTGGTGTTGAATCTGTTTTTGTTGGAGAAGTTAAAATCAGCTTGCGGAAGTCTCTGGTCAAGCTTGGGTGGAGTTTTATTTCAAAGGATCCAAAGCTGCAAGTTCTGATTACTGATTTGGAAATAGTTTTAAGGCGTCCAGAAAAAACTGTGAAGAAAGTTCAACATCGGAAATCTCAGTCTGCAAGTAGAGGGAAGTGGATTCTTATCACTAATGTCAGCAGACTGGTATCAATTTCTGTTACCGAATTAATTGTAAAGGTGAGCTCCTGGTGACTGGTACTAATCTGGTATTACTATTCATAGTTGAATATGCTGTGTGATGGGTTACTTATCTGGTTGCTTGTTCTTGATTTGTTTTATATTGCTTCCATGGTAGTTAATTGTGTTACTATACTCTACTAAGTTTTACTGGAATAAGCGTGTTAGGATTGACATGTTCAAAGATACACTTATTAAGTATCAAGTAACTGTAATAAACCTCCTAATGAAATAAGGCTATCTGGTTTATGCATGACCTTGTCTCTTATTTGCTAGTCCCATGGCCTGTTTTTTTTATTGATAGGTAAAAATGGTGTGACACCTATGTCATGTTAATGAGATGCATGATATAAATAATAGCATGGACACAATATCTGAAACATGTGTGGGATATGGATAGTTGTTTTGGTTGCCTTGGAGGACCATGAAACTACATGAAGTATTGCATCAAGCTGTATGGAGGTGCATCCAGAGGGATGGTACCAAACAAGAATTGGAAAAAAGAGAAGAAAATCAAATCAAGATATATTACAGCTAACGGCAAAAAAAGGAGTCTGGTTGAGTTGGAGTTTCTCATTGTTATAAGATGATACACTTAAATGTTTTCTGCCTTAACTGAGGTTTTCTACATCTTTAATGCCGTCCTATTTTTTGTCTCCATTCTTTGTCTGTATCTCAAAGCATGTTGTCTCAGTCTTTGGATCTATTTGATGTTGCTCCTGAATATTTTTAACACTGGTTGCTTTCCAATTAATAAGCTACCTTTCAAGTTCATGTAGGGAAGTGGGGGAATAAAATAAATAAATTAGCAAAATAAAAGAAAATAATAAGGGGTTGATGGATACCCTCTCTTAGAGTCTGCATGGGAGTCCACCCCAAAAAGATCTCTTCACAAGATCCAAATAAACTCTTCTTCTGTTTTCTCTCCATTTTTTATGATCCAAGAGTTACATATTTATAAAAGAAAATAACCTTAAAACCAAAATTTCTTCCTAAGAAACCCTAACTAAATCATAGCCCTTCATCATTTGAAAAAAATTAAACTTCCAATTCCCTTCAATCTCCGCAACAAAAAGTCACAAATATCCCTCAAGAAAACAATTGCATCCGTCTCATGGGTTTGAGAGAAGCTTGACGTCGAACTTGTTGTGCAAATCGCATCCTTTAAAGGCCACTTGAATAGTTGGTGATGAAGTTCCACCATTCGATTGGGTACTTTGTCTTCGAACATTATTTTAATTTCTCTTTCAGACTCCGTGTGAACCTCTAGAAGGATGACCTTTATACCGGGATCATGCGAGCGTTCCTCATGTCGCAGTTCTTTTCTGAAATTTCTCTCATTACATGTAGGATTAACCATTAGAGTTGGTAGTGAGACTAGATTCTTCTCTAGGACGAAATTTGGCTCCAGATGTATGTAGTTGTGAGCACTCTCTTCTCAATGCATGGTGTTTTCTAACTTTTTCAACCGCTGATACGTTACGCTGATCTTTGCTTTGATATGCTCCATAGATTGATTTATGCTTTTTACGCTCTCTTCAATTTGTTGTTTCATAGCTTTTATAATTTGTGGCAATAGAACATCTCGATCACAGGAGTAGGTTTGTTAGTATTGTGATAGATGGATCTTGTAAGCTCTGATACCACTTGATGCAGAGAGGTGTGTGAATAAAATAAATAAATCAGAAAAATACAAGAAAATAACTAAGGGTTTAGAGATTATACCCTCTCTTAGCGTCTGCAAGGGAGTTCACCCTAAATGATCTCTTCGCAAGATCTAAAATAAGATTTTCTGCTCTTCTCTTTCTATTTTTTCTGATCTAAGAGTTTTTTTTTTTTGAGAAAAATCTAAGGGTTACATATTTATAAAGAAAATAACCTTAAAACCTAACTGGCTTCCTAAAAAATCTCAACTAAATTATAACTCTTCATCTTTAAAAAAATATAGTTTCAATTCTATTCCTCAATTCTCTACAACAAAAAAATACAACATGCCCCTAAAAAAAACTAGAAACCCAAATAACCCCAAATCTTGTTTTTTATCTCCTAAAAAAAAAAATAAAAAAAAATAAAAAAAAACTAATGGTATTAGTTAAGACCTTCATGTCATAAATGTCTTTGAGTTGCTTGATTTGTAGTTTTTGTCAACATGCGTAGACATTGTAAATTTGTGCAAAAGATTTCCTTGTTAGCAGTATTGCTATCTCAGTGATGGTTTCTGTATGTAAGTTGTGGTTCACTCTGTTGATTGTGTCCTTGTTTTAATTTATCTTTCGTTTCTTCATAGATGTATCTGTTTACGTTCCCCCCCCCCTCTTTCTCGAGGCTATGAAGCCCGTTTTTAGCAGCTCGTTGTGCTCAATTTTGCACTTTAAATTGGACAGATTCCAAAAGGTACCATAGGTGTTCCAAAAGCTGCAATCGAAGTGAAAGATCTGAAACTGGATATATTTAAAGGAGGTGGAGCAATACCAAATTTGTCTTTCAAATTACAATTACTTCCTTTCCTTGTTAATGTGGGAGAATGGAGGCTCAGCTATGACCTGACAGCTGGTTCTATAACTGGCGGAAATATCTTGAGACAGACTTATCCAGCTGCAGTGGAGAAGATATTTGCTCCTTTCAGCTGTGAAGAATTATCCCTCTTCTGTGAGTTAGGACATGACAGGTGAGTTGTCTATCTATTATTATGTCTATGATTACTGATATGTTCTGTGAGGTCCTAGTATGTAAGATGTAGTAGTTGGGAATTTATCGCAAACTCTAAAATCCAAAACAAAGACTTTGTATAGCCATATGTTTAACATTGTTAAATGAAAGTTTTAGGTGTGTCTAAACGTAAGAGATGGGACATGATAACCTATCTTAAAGGTATAATATTTGTGTACATGATATGTTTCCTCTTGGATTTGTGAACAAGTTTTCTGTACATGATATGTTTTTTCTGGGGTGATTTTCAAGTGAAAGGCTCTAAAAGGGCTAGGGGAAGGGCTTTTAAGGACATGGATGGAAATAGCGAGAAAATATATTATGGTCTGACTGAGTGTATGGCCTTTGATAGAGCAAAATAGTGGAATAGGATTCGTCTAGCCGACCCCAAATAGTTGGGATAAAACTTGGATGATGATGATGATAATGATAATGATGATGACATGTTTTCTCTGGAATTCCTTCATCTGTCCATGTTGTATTTCATAATTGACACTTGTGTTATTACTGTTCTAGTTAAATGCTAGATGTCATTAATATTTGTAGCTGGATGCTACCTTAGAATTTTGTTATATATCCTCATCTGCATCATTTAGTTTTCTTCTTCTCAGAAATATGTTGCAACTTTCAGGAATTTCTACAAGAATTCTGGTAATTTATTGAGATGACATTTCAGCATTGATGTCCTTTCATTTCAGGGAATCTGGAGTCGTGGTCAAAAACTTGGATGTCACAAGTGGAGAAGTCCTTGTCAATCTTAAAGAGGACTTGTTTCAGAAAAAATCTTACTCAGAAGAACCCTTTCTTGGTGGACATGCTAATGTTGAGGCTGTTTCTGAGCCTTTGTCTGATACAAATATTTATGAGCCTATATCAGCATCAAAATCATTGAAAACATCCAACCATAAGGGCAGTGCTGTTCTATCAGTCAAAAAGTATATTTCGCGGTTTCCGGAAAAGGTAAATATGCTATTTTGAATGATGGCTGATTTTCTTGTTTCCTGTCTCTGTTTGTTAATTTCTCTGTCAATAAATGGCCACAAACTGGATTTTGAATGTACATGTCATTTAGTGCGAGATACTTTATGTTCTCGTCTTTTATTTTTTTGGCTGCATGCATTTATTTGGTTTAGTACAGATAAACTTAATGATTCTAGCGACTTTGTACTGTCCATCATGATGCACTTCCCGATAATTGGGTTATATTGCTGAAACACATAGAGTACAACTGCCTCATAAAAAAATTATTTTAGAGAAGGAGAGACTTCCTCAGGAAGCCAAGTTCCAATTGCTTGAGACCTGGAGCACCAGTCACATTGACTTGTACGTTTTAAGGATTTCTTGACTCAATTTGCTGCATTTAAACTGGGGAAAATTACAAAAAACCCCCTTCACCCAACTTTCTTAACAACCTACCCCCAACCAATTTTTTTATCACAACATTTACCCCAAAGCAAACTTTTCTAGCAAATACCCCCCCCCCCCCAATGAAAAAGTAATAGTTTTAGAACCAAAATGTCCTCTCCCTTTTCTAACATCGACTACCTAACTTTTCCCATAAAACACAAAGAGTCTGTCCGGCAGTATGAACAAGCTGTCCGGCAATATCCCAAAGTGGTCCGGCACTGACAAAGAATGGGCTGGCACTACCAAAGAGCGGTCCGGCCCTGCCAAAGAGTAGTCCGGCACTGCCAAGGAGCGGTCCGGCAATAGTCACATGCAGTCTGGCAATAAGCCCATGCGGTCCAGCAACAGGTACAAAGTGCGGTTCGACAATGTCAAAGAGCGATCCGGTACTTTTTTTAGTTTAACAGGGTCCGGCATTTGGTACATGGCGGTCCGGCAGCCCATGTAGCTTTTGTTACTGTGTGTAAGCCCACGTGAATGTCCTGCCAAAATTAATTTTTTATGCACGAAAAAGGGTATTTTCATAAAAAAAATGTGCCTTTTTTTTACTTGGGGGGGGAAAGGGGGGAGTATTTGCTAGAAAAGTATATTTTGGGGTGAAAAGTGGGAAAAAAAGTTTGGTTGGGAGTAAGTTGCATAGGAAGTCTATTCTTGGGGGTTATTTGTAATTTTCTCTTTAAACTATTATGAATTTTAGTTACTAGGGAAATTATCATAAATATGCCTTAATTTTTGTCAAATTAGAAAAAAACCTTCAACTTTTATAAACTTCGTTCACACTCTTTTTCCTCAATTTTGGCATTTAAAATACTTGAGTTATCATGGAATTTAAAATGCAGTATAAAATGGGGAGTCATTACGGTACTTAATGTTAGGGCTTCACAATAATACGACTACTGTGAAGGCTATTTTGATAAGAAAAAAAGCCAGAAAAAGGGTGTGGATGAGATTTATGAAAGTTGAGGGTTTTTTTTCCAATTTGGGGAAAATAAAGGTATATTTTTGATAATTTCCTTAGTTACTATTTGATTTCACTATTATGAAGCAATAAATTTAGATTCCGACTTCCTCTATGTGAGAGGTCTGTCTTGACTCTTGGAACTTAAGTAGGATATCCGATTGATGAACTCAGTAACTTGTAATGTGGCATGGAAGGTCTATTGGCCTGTTGGGCTTTTTGAGATCAATAATAGTGACAAATCGTACTTTTTCTGTGGAAGGTTAGCTTCAATATGCCAAAGCTGGATGTGAGATTTATGCATGAAGGTCAGCGCCTCCTTGTTGAAAATAACATAATGGGTATTCAACTGAGAAGCAGCAAATCACAGTCCTCTGAAGATCTAGGGGAATCTACATCACATTTTGATATTCAAGTGGATTTCAGTGAGATTCATGTAATTTTATGTTTCTTCTTTTCACTTCCAAGTGATAAGCTGTTGCTACTATGCAGCTATTTGTACTGGTGGTATCTTAAACATTTCACTTCTGCTATCTGCAGCTTCTTAGAGAGGAAGGGAAGTCTGTCCTGGAGATACTGAAAGTGGTTATTACTACTTCCTTTTATGTTCCAACACAAGTAAGTTCTTAACCTCTCATCATCATAATATTGGTAGTAAACAAAAACAGAGAAATTAATTTTGCACATATTAGCTAATTGGGCTTCATCCTGGAGTAGATGACTCCTTGGTCTTGTGAAATTCAAGGTCATTGGAGCCACTTTAATTCCTTGTGTAACTAATATGTCCCCAGTGCTTCCAAATGTTGCTTTTGTTCCATCTTAGAAAGTTATTATGGGTCAAAGGTAGATATCTTCCTTTATATACATTGTATAGATTGCTATGGCAGGGTGATAAGGTTCATAGACAATCTGTTATTTTCTCAATCCTTGCTGGCTTTTTTGACAGTGAACTAGTTGAGATTAGTTGGAGCTCATTATAATCTATGGCTGAATTTAGTGTGTTATTATTCCTCATTTATTTATTTTCTTATTCTTGAAATTCTTAATCACTATGTCTTGTAGTGGCAAGAATATCTAGATTAACATCAGTTCAATTACCATGGTTCACTCCTTGTTGCAAAGTGCATCAGGAGAGGGCTGGAGAATGCCGATTTAAAGAAGGTTCACTGTCAGGAGAGTCTAAGGAGCTGTACGTTGCTGAGGTGAAGAGCCTCCCACCCCCAATACACACACCCAGTGCCCCAAAGTTAAGGTCAAAACCACCTCGACAGAAAAATATGAAGCTACCATGATGTCTCTAAATCTCAAGCCACTGATGAGACTTGGACTAGTTTCATGTAGCTCAACTGTGTCACATTTATTTAACTCTCTTTTTTTTGGGTTCTAGGTTGATGGGACCTCGGACTAGCCTGAGTTAATACACTCAAAAGGACTTCAAATCTTGAAACCATGTTTAGGAATGCTTACATACAGATATGATACACATGTACGTGTACTTGTGTATGTACATGTGTGTGGGTGTGTGCATGAAATGTTAAAGCTTTTTACTGTTAATCAATAATTCCCAAAATAACAGAAGCACATTTTGTATCCAGATCAAAAAGATGGTAAACCTGTTGGGAAGGAAATATACAACCTTTTCTATGAAGTAAACACCTCGTCATTTTATTTCACTAGCTGCAGCTGCCCTCACTTGATATTCAACATTAGAGCTGGACTTGTTGCTTCTCTGTTTTTCCCTTTGATCATGATAATTACCTGGAAGTTGGCAATCATGTCATCAAAGCATATCTTGTTCTGATTCCTTAAAGGACCATGTAAGCAATCTATGTTTACAGTCTAACTTATATATTTGTATTTTGTCTTTGTCCTTACTGCTGATTAAACCCACAACTTGTGATGTTCAGTGTGGTGACTGGTAGATGGAGCTTGCAATTCAGTCTTCCATACTGTGTGAGGTTTTTGAGTGTAGTATTAGCTGGTTTTTTTTTACCAACATGCCTGCTTCCTGGAAGAGATTGTTTTTTTTTTTTTGGATATTTTTTTTGATAAATGTTAACTTTGTTCCCAGAAGAGATTGTTTTGTAGTTCATAATGAGTATATTGCTGCCTTCTTGAACTTGCAATTTATATCCAAGAAACTTCCTCAGAATCCTTGAATCCTTTTAAAAAAGAAACTCGAATCTTGCCTTATGCCTGTAGTAGTACTCAGGAATATAATGGATAGTTTTGGAAGGAGGTGATGCAAACAAGCGGGTGTGATTATTTTAAGGTAGACAAAATGAAAGGATAATCTTTGAAGCTTGTAGAGACTGGAGAGAGATAAAAAAGAATAATGAGATGAGGATTTGGAAAATTTTCCTTACTTTTGATGTAGCTGAAGATGTATGGCTTTCACTATTAAAGGTCGTAGCATTGAATCCCCTTCACTTCTAGTCCATATCCACTAGAATCACATCCTATTCGTCAAGTGAAAATTATCTTGCAGTTTCTTGTGGAGGTGAAAATAGCACTTGTTTACGAAAGCTTTGAAGTGTGAGCTGCAGTGGTCATGTTTTTTCAAGTGTTAGTGGTGAAGGAATTATGACTAGTGTCTTAATTTTAATGGTCTTTTGTCAAACCGATCCTGGCAAAATCTTGGTCTGGTCACCTTTCTCGCTGCATTTAGGTTGTGGCTGATGACCAGGTCTGAACGGTCTAGCTAAAACTGATTGCTCATGTCTGAATCAAACTCAACCTTGATTTCACCTAGTTGAACCACATTCTTCTCTTTTTGTTCTTGCATCTTCTAAAATGTCTTCTACTTTTTTATATTCTTTTGGAGAACTCTTAACTTGTTGAATTATACAGCCATTCAAAAAGGAAATTTTTTGAATCGTGCATTTGGATGAGACTACATATGCTGCTGAGTTAAACAGCTACAGGAGAGCCTGCCAAATGTTGCTAGCTCTATAGAATTGTTTTCAAGAGCCTATGGACTCTCCTCACAAACGTTCAATTGCAGGAGCTCAAGGTCAGAAGAAGTAGACAAATATTGGTTGTTTTTGGCAGTGGTATCTGCATCTAAACATGAATGGTGAAGTGACAAAAGGAATTTTTGCATGTTCTAGCCATGTTTAATTAAAAATAGTCTATGGCTCTTTTCTTTTCCAGCTCTTTAGGAGACCATGCTGTGTTCTATCCTTTTGTAGTTATTATTGTCGTTCTATATATTGTTGCTACTGTTTCATGCATGGCTTACTGGGCAGAAGTCCTCTTAGCTCTTAGATCCTGAGTTTCACTTCCACTATATTCTCGGTTTTGATATCACTTCTACGAAGTGTATTTATGTTATGAGGCCTTTACTTTCAGTTGACGATGCCTTTGAGAGCTGAAGTCGATATCAAGCTTGGGGGTACCCAATGCAACATACTTACCAGCAGATTGAAGCCTTGGATGTTCCTTTACCTTGCAAAGGAGAGAAAAGGAAAGTCTTCTAGAGTTCTTCCTGAAGGGAAAAATGCTCCAAGCACATCTCCATCAACTGATATGAAAGCAATCATGTGGACATGTACTGTCTCAGCCCCAGAAATGACTATCGTGCTTTATGGTCTCAACGGCTTGCCGCTGTATCATGTATGTTTTTTTGGATTTTCTCTTTGTGCGCTTTTATTTATGTATTTTTCTAATGCCTTGCTTATTGATTCCTCTAAGATGGACATTGCTAAAAAATAATATAAGGGAGTTGGTTTTAAACTGAAGTGCTTCTTACATGTATTTATTTCACTGCAAGTATGGGCATGAGAGAGAGAGAGAGAGAGAGAGAGAGAGAGAGAGAGAGAGAGAGAGAGAGATAGTAGTAGTAGTATATAGTACGTAGTACGTACGTACGTACGTACGTCGTACGTCGTTACGTGTTAGTTAGTTAGTAGTTAGTTAGTTACGTT